TACACGCTCCCCCACCCTCACACACACACACTTTCACTGGGCTGTGGCTGAGGGTTGAGATGCATATGTCTGGGGGTGTGGGCTCTGGGGTAGGGGCGAGAGACTTGGGGTGTGAGAGGTGGTACATGCTATGAGAGGGAGCTTGAGTATGGGGGGGGCAGGGACAGGGTTGGGAGAGAAGATTGACATGTAGGCTCTGGGATGGGGCCAGAGATGAATATTTCAGGATGCAGAAGGGGCTCCCTGCGAGGGCTGAGGGACTTCAGTATTGGAAGAGACTCGGGGTTGGGATAGGGGGTTGGAGTGCAGGACAGTGTGCGAGGTCTAGGCAGCACTTACTCCTCATTCCATGAGGAGTAACAGTTAATTCAAACTAAGGACGTAGTTCGAATTAACGTTTCACTGCCACGTGGCTCGGGCTAGTGAAATTTCAAAATGGCGACCGGACGGGAACATGCAAATAAAGCATGGGACATTTAAATCCCGGGCTTCATTTGCAACTCCGGTCGCCTCATTTGCCTACCTAGCTCGAATTAACGATCTAGTGTAGACATACCCTCATGAGTCTCCTAGAAATACAGGGGCCAGAGATGTGCCATGTGCCCACATGCACCGCCTCCTACAACTCCCATTGGTTGTGGGTTCTTGACCAATGGCAGCTGCAGAGCTGGTGCTTGGGATGGGGCAGCATTTGGAGGTTCCCTGGCCTTCCATACTCCTAGGAGCTGCAGGGACTTTGACTGGTTCCTGGGAGCTGCACAGAGCCTGGGCAGGTAGGGAGCCTGCCTTAGCCCTGCTGTGCCACTGACTGGACTTGTAACATCATGAACAGTGGTGTTGAATGGAGCTGCCAAGGACCTTTTTGATCAGTTGTTCCATTCGAAAACTGGATCCTTTTCTACCCTGGCTCTATTCCTAAAAGTCACTGAAGTGCCAGCACATTAAATCACGGGAGCAGAAAATTAAATCACATCATCAACATAAAATCTATCGGACTGTAAGACGCTGGTTTTTGCCACATCTGAAAGATGGGTTTTTTACATTAACTATTTCATGGATAGCAAGGTGACCATGCTTAAGAGTAATACAAGGGAACAGCACCTGAGCTTCCCCCTTGACCATGGGGGAGCACCTGGCCATGAGGAAATCACCTGTTTCCCACAAGCTGGAACACTGTGTATCTTTTTAAGGGTTATAATATGAAAAATTTCCCTGACATAATGCAAGGTGTCTGGCAGTTCTGTTCTCCACTAATTTTACAATCTTCACCATCTGGCTCTTCTTAGTCTTATCTCATTCTTCATCCCTGGAATTCCTCTTCAACTTGCTGTTCCCCACATGCTCATTTTGCAAATATATTCCCAAGCCATCCTCATCCGTCTTCTCACAATGTACATTCTGTAGAGCTTGTTTTGATTATCCATAATCAATTGGGAGCCGGTGATTGGAACTGGATATCTCTAGTTTTCAGAGTAAGATTTTCATTTGCTGGTAATTATTCCCACATTGCTTTGGACTATGTCCAATATACCCTGATTTAAATTAAGAGTTTATCTCTACATGAGTCCATGCAGTCTTGTTGAGGAGCAATCTAGCTTGCTCCCCTTTCTAGTGTCAGGGATGGAGTTAAATGTACTCTCTTTGCAGGCAGACCTATTGCAGGACTGTATGATTATATTCTGACTGACTCAGATGGAAAGGAGAACATGCTACCATTTTAGGAAGAGGGAAGCTATATCTTTCAAAAACAGAATAGTCTTTCCCTTACCACTCCTGCACCACAGATTCAGCTCTCAGGATAAATGAGGAATTCTCTCTTCAAAAGAAGAGAACAAACCCCGGCTGCAGGAGAGGCCACCCCACTTCTGAACAGTTCCTGCCCAAGGCTGGGCTCCAAGGGTACGTCTAAACTACATGCCTCTGGTGACAGGAAAATAAAGTGGCGATTTAAATAATCGCTGCTTCATTTAAATTTAAATGGCTGCCAAGCTGAGCCGATCAACTGTTTGTCGGTTCAGCGCAGTACAGTAGTCTGGACGCTCCTCAGTCGACATCAAAGGCATTTGTCGACCTCCCACGTAAGCCTCCTGGGATGAGGTTTACCTGGGAGGTCGACAAATGCCTTTGATGTCGACCATGGAGCATCCCGAGTGCCGCGCTGAGCCGACAAACAGCTGATCGGCTCAGAGCGGCAGCCATTTAAATTTAAATGAAGCGGCAATTATTTAAATCGCCACTTCATTTTCCTGTGCTGGGTAGCCTAATCTACATGCCTCTGTCGCCAGAGGCATGTAGTCTAGACGTAGTCCAACACTCTTGGCTGGTGAGTAAGTGAGCAGGGCCATGATAGCAGAACTGCAGAGAGTTCCTTGCACTTGAGCCCTGATGGGGCAAAGCAGGGGTTCCTGGCTAGGGTTGTGGGAAGAAGGGAGATGGACAGGAGCCATTCAGCAGTATGGCCACCCCCTTTATATGTGGGGGTTTGTCCTTCTTCTCATGGCCCTGACTAGGAGTCTCTGCTCTGCAATGCCAAGACTGCAAACTTCCACGCACCTTCTAGCTGTAGGAATCTAGTGTTGCTGGCCTGTAACCTGCAAATAGCTCCACTGTCACGATCTCACTTGTACCCTCACTCCTGTAACCATAGAGCTGCAGAGGATTCTCAGTGCTGTTGTATCACAGAATATTAGAACCGGAAGGAACCTCAGGAGATCATCAAATGTAATCTCTTGCCCAAGTACCATCTAGATCAGTGTTTCTCAACCAGTGGTACAAGTACCCTTAGGGGTACTCGAGAGAAGTCTAGGGGGTACATCAACACAACTGAAATTTGTCAAAAACTGAATTTTTATTTTAAGTCTTACAGCATTTTATTATTTTTGTACTTTTTACACCCAAAAATTTCACCGCCTGCCCAGCTATGATTAAGTTGTTTAAACGAATGTGTTGCAATGGTAGAAAATAATTTTGTGTGTCTGAAAACTGTAGGTACTGGGGGTATTTATAATTTTTTTTTAATAAAAGGGTACTTTATAAAAAAAAGGTTGAGAAACCCCGATCTAGCTAATCCCTGATAGATGTTCCTGGATCATCTAATCTGCTCTTTAATATCTCTAATGATAGAGATTCCACATCCTCCCTAGGCAATTTATTCCAATGTTTAACCACCTTGACCGTTAGGAAGATTTCCTTATGACTAACCTAAACTTCTCTTGAGCATTTTAAGTCCATTGCTTCTTGACTTGTCATCAAAAGTCAAGGAGATACTCCTTTTTACCTCTGATTTTCTTCTCTTACCTACCATTGTCCTTATTCTGTTGTTCTCACTCTTACCTGCCTTTGAAAATTATATATCCTTTTATGTTTACTTTCACCCAAAATGCCTTCTAATAATCAACTGCTTCTTCCCTGTTATTCAGAAGCCAGTCTGAAATGGCTGACCTCCTAGTTACTTCCCCCACCAGCTGAACCTACAAGTTGTCCCCAGTACAGTGCAAGAACTAAATGGAGATTTTATATTTTGCCGTATTACTTTTCTAACATATATCTGTGCATATATCTCTGTCTAGGGCCCTTAAATGACCTGGGTGAGGGTTGACTCTGTGGGTAGGTCTAGACTGCATCCCTCTGTTGGCAAATCTCCTTGCAGGATGCATAAGGGATCTGTCGAAAAAGGCTTTATTTCTCGACAGATCCCCCTCTAGACTGCCACTTTTTGCAGACAAAATGCCTAGTCGGCAAAACGCGGCGGCCATTTTTATGCAAATTAGGCACGGGATATTTAAATCCCTGCCTCATTTGCAATGTCGACCTGCCTAATCTGCATCCGTCTGCCGACAGAGGGATGCAGTCTAGACATACCTTGTGTCTATTGTTAGCTATTTTCTGCACCTGAAACTTTTTGCAACCATGTAATTGTTGACCTTGTAGCATCATGTCTTGATAAATGCATAGTGTTGCCAGGTGTCTGGTTAAATACCAGAAAATTCCAGCAGGGACCTTTTTCTTTTCCTCAACCGGGATTTTTTGTGAAGCTACCTGGCAACCCTATAAATGTGTAATTCTTTTTATTTCCTCATAATAACGTGTCTGGTCCTGATGGGTTCAGTTTGTCAGAATATGTACATAATTCCCAGACAAAAAGTGTTTAGTAAAATTAAAGATATAGTTAAAGTAAATGTCTGTGATTTAAGGCAAACTACAATGATGTTGTAATTGCCCCCCAAAAGTTTTATAACCCCAGGAAATTATAAGAATTTCAAACATTTAAGGGTATATAAATGCATAGTTAGGACAACCAGACAGCCACTGAAAACAGTGAGAAAAAGCAAAATCTTTTCAAAATGGCCACTAATTGAGGACCTCTGTGGTTTCAGTCCTGTTGAGAACAATGGAAGATGGCTGCCATTTTGAAAGATGGCAGTTCTTTGTGGAATTCTTAGTAGGAAACTATTGTATCCTTAGGTCTCTGCTGAAAGTGAAGCTAACGGCTATGCAGATTAATGAGAAAAAATGATCACATGTCCTAAAACAAAATATTCAAATATAGACAATTCACAGTGAGTATATCAGAAATTTGAAGTTGTTTACATTACTGAGATCATAGGCGTAGGGTTGCCAGGTATCCGGTGTTGAACCGGACAATCCAGTATTTGAGCTTTCTGTTCGGGAAACAAATTGAGAAAATATAAATGAGAAAATACAAATGTCCAGTATTTTCTAAATAAGATGTAATGTAGATTGTGATGTAATGTCAAATGTGTCCAGTATTGTTGTTGAAAACATCTGACAACCCTACATGGGCAGGGGGAATAAAAGTTCTGAAACTGGTTGCTAAATTTCTTAATGAACCCACAGGAATTTCAGTTCCAAATGTAATGAACAGATTTACTCAGAAACATTGAGTTTTTGAGGAGTAACGTTAGTTCGGACTAAGGGCTTTAAGTGCGTCCCGGCGCGCACTTCCTGGTTCGAATCAGCTGTGATTCGAACTAGCGCGCCAGTGAAATCATGTTAATGAAGCGCGGGATATTTAAATCTCCGCTTCATTAACTACTTCGGTCGTCTCTATTTGCATCCCTAGTCCGAACTAGGGATGCAGTGTAGATGTACCCTATTATCCTATGGGGTTGTGGCCAGAGCAATTGGAACAGAAAGCTGTGGGAGGCCTCGTAAAGGTCAATGGCATTGACTTTCCAATAACACTGCATCTACACTAGTGTACCCTCAGCCATGCCAGGTCGGGAATAGTATTACTCCTTATGAAAAGCAGAGGTACAGAAATCAACTTCTGCGGCCTTTAAGGTCAATGTGACAGGTTTGGTAGGATGGACACATCACTTAGAAAATCGACTGTATGTGGCTAACATTGATCTAAACTCCTAGTGTAGACCAGGCCCAGGAGAGAAGCCCTGGGAGGCTTTGTGAACTTCAGGCACATCTCTGCAATGCAATTCCCTTGGTCCTCTCAGCTGGTGCAGAGGCAAAAGTAATCTGTTATAGGCCTTTAGAGCATAGTATGTTCCCTTCTCATGTGTTGCCAGCTTCATGGGTGGGCAGCATCAGAAATTAAACCCTAATCTCATCCGTACATCTGGAATCTCATTCTGAGCAAGTCTAATGCAATTAAAATGAAGGGTTTTACTCCCCCATATTGCCCTGTCTATCTGTATTAGACCCAGCCATAGCATAGCCCATGATATAGTTTTCCAAAGCTGCCTAATTTCAGGTTCCATAAGATGTGGAAATTTTCTCTTGCATTGATCAGAACAAGATTTTTCCTTGAACTTCATACATGCAGTAAAATAGGCAGATATGGGGACTGAAAAGCCATTCCTAAAAGATTATTGATACCAAACATTTGTTTTAGTGAGAAAATCCAGGATATTTCCTGCTGTCAGGCTAATGGTCACATGATATGAAAATCATTTGTGTTGTGGTAGTGGTCATATTTGACACTTACGATCTTTCAACCTAAAACGTGCCAAAGCAATTTTAAAACTACTGGGTAAATGCTGCATCGTCTGCTATGTGACTAGTCCACTGTCTCTAATTTAGATATTTTTGGATGTGGTCCTCACTCATACTATGTAAGCCCTCCTATTTTGTTTTTGTAGTCTAGGTTCTTGTTCACATCCTTATGTGCAATAAATGTATCTTACCTTGCTAATTGTCCCATTGACTAGGCTACAGTATTTTCAAAAGAAAGGTGGAAAGATTGAGCCCAGGGTGGCAATAAACAGGAATTTTGTGAAATTCAGTCTGTGGGCTATTTGACTCTTTTGGAAAATACTGTCTAGGATAATGCTTTATGGGACATAATTCTAGATTATCTGTTATGACACTGACTTTCAAGCACCAACAGTGCAGTTCAGGCAAAGACACTGTAGTCTAATTGCCGTTTTCTGTACAAAAGTGGATTAGAGAGCACCACTTTTGTTGTGCTAGAAGTGCACACTTATTTCACCTACGTCTAGACTACAGAGTTTTTCTGGGATACCAGTGGAACATCCAGGGAACAGTTTCCAAAAAAGTGGGCGAGTTCATTCGACATCCCTGTATTCCACGCAGTGAGAGGAATAAGGGATGTTCCAAAGAGGAGTTTTTTTCTGAAATTTGGCCCCGTGTAGCCCAAGATGTGCAAATTGTGTATCTTTTTCTGATAAAACTCTGTAGTCTAAATGTAGCCTTCTTGTCCCAGATTTGAGCAATATGTTGGTCAAACACTGACCATGTGACTGAGTTTTGTGAAGATGGAAACTCCTTCCAAATCTAACCTATCACAGGGACAGTAAATGTCTGGGTTGTTTTCTCACTGTCCTACCTGTAGAACTCTCCAGATGGAGTTGCCACAATATTACACAGCCCTTAAAATAAAGCACTATCAAACAATGCATTACTTACTTGTGTCACGACTTAATAATATTGTGGAGTTCCTGTAGCTAATCTAGCTATATATCCTTTAGTGCTTTTTCATTTACAGAATAATAAATAGAATATTTAATCAAATTTTACTTAATATTATTTAGTTTACTAGTTTGGGGAGTTTCTGGTTTTGGCTTTTGCTGTTGCTAGGCAGTGGCAGAGAGATTGCAAGGATTTTTTCTCCCTGTTGTTACCATCAATCTTTTCTTCTATCATAACTACTGACAGGGATTCTGCCCTAGGGTATTGGTGCCATCCATTGAAACAGAAAAATCAGCTTTCTGTTACAAAGTGGCGCAATAGTAAGTTTGGAGAAACGGCTATTCAACATGCAATTGAACACTGATATTTCCATAGAAATACTGGCCATGTTAAATGTTTGGCTATTACTTGGTACTGTTTTTTTGGAAACTTCAAAAACATTTGGGGATGCCTCTTCCATTTCTGTTCACACATACATATTATGCATATACTTTGTGTTTGTGTGTAAGTGTAATAAAATACGGTCTGATATATAATATAAATAAAGTTACAAGTACATACCTAAATCATATCTGTGCTTCTCAGACCAATTTTAAAGGTAATGTGGCATAAGTGAGTCCATTCTAACAAGCCTTTTCAGCAGGCTATAAAACTTATGCAGACTGATCTTTCAGACTGAAATTTTCCATGTTTGGTCACCGCCTGAAAGTGAAAATGGTTCACCCCGTTTTGGACACAGATGTGTAAAGTATACAATCTTGCCACAATAGATTATAGTTCTACAACTTCTGTTTTTC